CCCCACTGCGGCCCCGGGTCGGGCCGCTGGCACCCTCCTCATGGCCCCAGACCAGCTCCGCGCTGCAGTGCTGTGGACGGAGCCAGCTGGGGACTCGCGACGTGCGCCGGGCGCGTTAGCTGCCTCCGGTCCCCTCGTCCATCCTCCCAGGTACGCTCAAGTCACACGCTGAGTCTCTGTACTGCCCTGGCCTCCACGGTGGCCCCCTGCGAAGCCCGGGTTGCGGTCCCCATCCTCCTGTGGTACCCTAACCCGCGGGCTGCGCGCTCCGCCTTAGCCCCTGCCAAGGATGGCTGGGTCGTGTTTCTTAGGATCCACCCACCCCGCCCGTCCTCGCGGGATGCTTCCATCCCCTGGACAAGGGATAGGCGGGGCCCCGCGCGGGGAGGTCACGTGTAGGTCCCCTGTCTCTCCCTCCTCCTCACCCCATTGCAGTTCTGGAATAATAGCGCTTCGCATATCTAACCTCTATTTAACGGATGGGGAAAACTGAGGCCCAAGTAAAAAAAAAGGGAGGGGGGCTGAGTCACTCTACATCCATGCAAGTGAAGGGCCCCTAAAACCTACAGATCATGACTCCCAGCCCCTCCCGGCGACGGCAGTGGTGTACTTCATAGGCCTGGGCACCTCCGTCCTCCAAAGCTAGCAGTAAAGGGCGACACATGAAGCGGTTTGGCTCCTGGGTCACCTATCTCAATCCAGCTCGCTTTCCAGAGACCAAGGTTGGACCCCTTCCCGTGACAGCGTTGCTCGCGACCCCGCCCTCTCCCGTTCTGGGCACGCGCAGTGGGCAGCTCGGGGCTCGCTGGCCTGAGGAGGAAGCGCAGTCTTACAACAAATATGAGATCAGAGGATTCTGCTTATATTGAATGGTTAGTAAAATTTGGAGATTGCAAACTTGATGCCAGTTTTCATTTAGGAATGGATATTGTTAAAATCCCCTGTGAACTGATTTGTAATTGATCTATTATTGAAGCAACCTTTGGAAATACTATATCTATAGATAATATTAAAAATATATCTAAATGTGCAATTCTTTGTCCAGAAACTATGTAGCCTTTTAAGTAAGTGTCCTCTCTCCTGTCTGCTCCCGTGCTTCCCTCCCCTCGGGACGACTGCGCTCGGGGCCCGGAGGCCGGAGGAGGCCGGAGCTGGAAACTACTCTTTCCGCCGCCAGCGCCCCACGGCGCCCCTGGCACGGAAGGTGGCTCAAATGTGGGGGTGGGGGTGGGCTGGGGAAGAATGCGTCCTCTGACCCCCGCGGCGCTGGGATGGGCCTGCGAGTCCGGAGTCTCCGGAGTTCAGAGTTGCGGGCAGTGGGCGGGACCGTAGCTCCTGGGCTGAGTGGCCTCCTGGGTTTGCTGGCGGCCTGGGCCGGGAAGGTGGAGAGAAGGCTGTGAGTGGCTGTCCAGGGCCTCGGGCCAGACTCTTGGGGTCCCCGGGTAGGGGGTGATGAGGACACGGGGGAGGGAATGAGGGAGCCCCTGCCAACCTGCCTCTCGCGGAGCAGGGTCTCCTCGACCTGCTAGGTAAAGATTACCCCAGGAAGATTCTTCAGCACCAAGAGATATTCCGGACACTGGGTCTGCTCAGTTCTTTTTGTTAGAAATGGACAGCCTACACGTTCTAGTGCTAGGCCGTGCCCCTCTGGATGCCCCTCGAGATGCTGGGGACCTGGGCACTTGGGGCCCTTGCTGGGTCACCGGAGCAGGTGTCAAGTCTAATTGAGGATTTAGGACATTCAAGAAACGAGGGGTAGCACACAGTCACACTAGCGTTAGAGAAGAGCAGGGGATATTGGCGTTTCTAGGTCACCTCTCTGGTCCTGGTGTTGAGGCACTTTGGAGGGTCCAGAGGGCTGGGCCTCAGGGCTTGCTCTCACTCAGCAGACTGTCCTTTAGTTCATTGATTCAGTGGCCATTTGTGGTGAGGGCTCAGGTTCTCTCCCCTTGGCCATTCTTTGCCAAGGAGGGTCTCAGCCATCCACCTGCCAAATGAATGCCTTGACAGAGGAAGAGTAGTTTTCAGGACAAAATGGTAGAAGGAGGGAGAACCCATCTCTTTGGGGAGTTGTGGGGACAGCAGAAGATGAGGCTGCAGAGATGAGTGGGAGGTCAGGTATAAGAGGCCCTTCATGCCAACCAGAGGAGTTAAGAGTTCATCTCGTAGGGAGTGGAGAGGAAGTCATTGTGGAATCCTGCACAGACCTGTGTTGGAAAGATCACTGTGGTCTTTGCTGTGAACAAGTTTGAGTGACATCAGCAGGCAAAACCTGTAGGCCTCCAAGGCAAAAGTGCAGTATGAGAGCCAGAACAGATACTTCTGACTAGCCCTGTGGCAAGAAAGCAGTTGGGGCTGTGAAGTTGGGTAGACACTGGCTTGTCACCTGAAATAATCCTGTAGGGCAGTGTTTCTGGGGGAGTGAGCTGTAGTATCAGCATAGGGCCTGCCCTCAGGCCTTGATTGTGGCTCCTTGGATTGTGTTGCCCTCATGAGAGCAGCTGCTGGTTCTTTGTTATTCACGTGTCTGTGCCTGTTGGTGTGTCTGTCCAGGCTTTCCCTCTGTTTATGAACTGCCAGGATTAGGTTGGTGTTCAGTAACTTCATGTTCTCCTAGAGGAGCAGAGGAATGCGACCATGTGATGATAGATACCAGACCTAGAAAAGATTTACACCTGAAGAATCCAGACCTGGTTGGTCCTGAGGTTGCTTCCACATCTGAGACACACTGAGAAGTGGCCCTTGGAGCTCCTGCCTTTCTGCCCAAGATACTGGCAGAGAGGTGGATTATGCAGGGAGGTGACTGCACCTGCAACTCCAGGAGCAGGGTGATGGAGTGGCATTCTGTGGAGCGGTTGTGCTCCTCCAACCTTTCCTGCTCCCTTGATGGTCACACCCCTTTCCAACCATAAGGACTTCTCTCCCTCTGTGACCCTCCACAGTCCAGCTGTCACTGTGTTTAGCCAGCTCTAAGGAAACGGTTTGTTTCTGTTTTTTAGCCAATGGCTGCCTAGGGCCAGCCCTTCCCCCTCCCCTGGGTATGGGCAGTGGATTTCCAGCTCCAGTGAGAGATGATTCCTCCCTGAGAGCTTAAGCTTCCTCTAACACCCCACTATTATTTTGTTCAAGTGGGAGAACAATTAACATGCCTACAGTGAGCTAAGTAAGCCAGGTGCAGGCTGGGTGCTTCAAAGGGGAGCTTTGAGAAAAATATGTATGAGATCCATAAACATTAAGGCCAGAAGGACACAAGTGACCATAACACCATACATTATATCATCAAATTGCTTCCATTTGATATTAAAATAGATGAGTAGAAAGTTTTTCCTTTTTGCCTTTTCCTCCAACTGGAGAATATTGCTCATCGGTTGGAAAATATGCCTGTTCAGGGTCCTTGGTCAGGTCTCTGGAAGGGTAGGAAGAGCCATAGCAGTGAAATTTCAGCAGGGAACGCATCTCTGGAGGTGCAGACTCTCCTACGCTGGATTCTGCTGAGCCAGACTGCACACTGTCACCAGCTGTCCCTGGCCAGCCCGAGTCCTCCAGGCTGGCAAGACGGTTGAAGACCACAAAACCACAAGTGTGCACACTGCCTCCTGAAATACCTGGTACTGGTTTGAGGCCTTGCCTGGCTGACCTGATCACAGAGTAACTTTAGATAACTCTGTTCAGGGATATTTGATCTCTAACTTTACTAGATTTTTGTAAATGATCCCATTATTTGAGCTTAGGTAGGGATGCAATTTTTAAAAAATATGTTTTTACTGATTTTTTTATAAAGAGAAGAAGGGAAAGGGAGAGAAAAAGAAACATCAATGTGAGATTGGAACATGAGTCGGCTGCCTCCTGCATGCCCCTACCAGGGATGGAGCCCAAAACCTGGGCATGTGTCCTGACCAGGAATTGAACCAGTGACCTTTTGGTGCATGGGACAACACTCAACCACCACACCAGCCAGGGCAGGGGTGCAGTTTTTTTTTTTAAAGGAGTGTTATAAGAGGACTCACTCACCTTTTTAGTTTTATAAGGAAAAATTAGTCTGACTATATCATATCTTGTTTTTCATGAGGCTTTTGTCCAAGGCATCTTTAGTTTGCTTAATATTTTAAAATATAAAACTAATTCTTGCAAGTAAACTTGTCAGGATATTAAATATTATTTTTAAGCACTTACTCCTATGTAAGAATTCAGCTCTGGCATTAAGCACCAGGTTGTTTGTGATTTATTACATATTTTTAACCCTGGGACAGAAAGGTTGAGAACAGTGCTAGACAGAGCTCTTTGAATCTCTACTCCTAGATAGAGGGTTCAGTTGTTGACAACCAGGAGGACTATGTCCAAGAGAAAGCCAATGATTTAGGACTAAAAAACACTAAACTCCATCCCATTCACCAGCAATACTTGCTAGGAGTCTTATGTGTTTACACAGTTCATGCATTTAAACTGAATATTTTGATGTGGCATTTAGGGGCCTTCTCTTACCTTGCTCTCTTACCTGCTCTGTTTGAATTATTATTATTTCTATAGATTTGTCTTCTCATCAAGTTAAAACAAATTTACTCAGGCTTCTTTTTTATTTGTTTGTTAATCCACACCCAAGGATATTTTTCCATTGATGTTTTTAG